TATTGGCCACCAATATATATATATATATATATGATTAAAAAACAATGTAAATAAAAATTTTAAAATTATTAATATAATATCTTTATGTGATTAAACACTCAATTTATGTACAATCAAACCTTGGAATTCACCTTATTGTTCGTTAAACTAACTCACTTCTTTATGATCATAAGTCTTCTCATTAGAAGTGGAGTAGCCTGCTCTGCCTCTCGTATACTCAATATGAAAACACGGATCTTAATGAATGAGGAAAGCACATTTCAAATTTATATGATTTATATACACTTTTTAAAAGTCTCCAAAATATAAATGTTACCTAAGGCAAACACAAATTAGAAAAATCTACATAATATCTATATTAGAGTTACAATATATAATATGAAAAAGCTGACTATTTTCTTATAAATATTAAAAGAGAGAGTGATAATCATAAACTGAGGATATAGCGAGCTTGACTAGATGAAAAAATTGAATCTGTGCTAATTTTCAGTTAAAAAACATAATCAAGGCCCATAATCTTTGTATAAGCTGTATAATTTTCTTATCATTTCATATTTGATAAGCAAATGAACGCATCCTTATCTTACAATATGCTCTTAAAAAATCACGAGAAGTATAAAGAATGATGTTGATCTCTAACTTTATTAGAGCATCATAGATCTCTCTTTCCTCTTAAGTTAGCACCAAAGATTCAGGTCTTTCTCTCTCTCTCTATGAGTACTGCATCTTAGTACGGATATTCCAGTCACTCTGATTGCAAGAAAAATAGAAATGTTTCTTCCACTCAACTAGCATTTTATTAACCAAGCCAACTATCTTTAGTGATGAGGAAAACACAACTAAGCCATCATTTTGCTTCTTCACTTGGAACACATGGCCAAATAGGTTCATCGACTAGTATAGACCCTCGACATGAGCGCACATGATTACTATCATCACATTTGCTATCGAGTTAGGGATTATGTGAGCCAATACAAGCCCAAAAAAGTTTAAAATATCAATCGATTGCGCACACAATGTAAAACACAAACAAAAGCAAAACTATTTATAGAAAATAGTTCTCATGTTCATAAAACGGAATAAGAGTCAGCCCTCTTTGCATCTCTTAGAGTCACGACATTATCAAAAAAATACTATGATTGGACTTGCACCACTTGATCATCCTTTTTCCCGAGAACTTCTTTAATGCTTTGAGAGCAGAAGAGAACCTCATTTCTTCCAAAAGACACACTATCAAAACAGCCCAGAGAAAAAGTATACACCGAGAAGTTTCAAGGAAACAAGATCAGAGTAATGAGATAAAGGGTTTTCATCTACTTAAAAAAGGTAGTGAAAAGTCCAACAAATACGGATTTAAAAAGAAATTATTACTTATGGAACATAAAACATAAAGAAGAAATAAAATGATAAAATTGGAAACTTCATTCAGAAAAACATAAAGCTCTCACGCATTCAAAAAATAGTTGAGTACACAATCTATTCAGAAAACTAATTGAATACACAATCACATGGATGATTACAAAATGAGGCAAAAAAAAATAATAAATCACACCTTATATCATCGATACTAATTATCCCTAAATAAAGAAGGTGTCTATGTACCATCCGACCACCGTCATATAATTTTCGGGATTTCTCAATTTCAAATGATGTTTGATAAACATCCCTTCAGTTGTTGTCGCATCCATCTCCTCTCACATCGATGTAAAGTAGATTCAGCCTCCAACTCTCGGCAAATCAAAACAATTTCCCGTTCAAAGTTTGTCTTCTACTCCTGGTCAATAAATAACTTTTGGTCTCTAGTTCACCATTACAATCTCAGGCTCCAACTCGATTAAATGATCTTTTGATATCCTTTGATCACCCAAAGAAGATAGAAAATCGATTGTATGACCAAACCATGGTATTACCCCATCTGTCAAGTTACAGGACCCCTTGAGAACTGGATGAATTTCTCCATCTTCTCGGACATCACCAATAGCAAAATCTCTGATTTTGGATGAAACTTCAATCTCCACCTTATTTATCCCAAGTAATCTCGCATCCTGCCTTATCGACTCCTCTAAAAAATAAATTATCATAGTCACTAAGGGGAGAAGCTCCAAATCAATAAAGTTGCATTATGTTACCTTTGAAGAATAGAACATATTCGTTCCAATCTGAGACTGTGTCACCGACGACTTGATCCCCTTGGGATATACCACCCATATCCATTGGATTCTGAAGAATTTCATCATGGCATGAAGTTTGACATTCAAACTCAACTATAAAATTGATATCTAATTAATAGAAAGATTCATATAGTTCGAAAGCAGAAAGAACAAAAAAATATGCATAGGCAAAAACTCTTTATTATAAAAGTTCAGATCAATAGCTACCACAACAAGATGCTCTTCTTGCCCATTCGACATGTCAGAAATATTGGCCACCATCGGATTGTTCAAGTGAAGTGGTGCTTTTCTAGGTAAGCAAGCCTCCGGTTCAGCCATCAAGCTTTCCTTGTGAAAGGTTGCCCTTCAGCTTTCCTTGTGAAAGGTTGCCTTGAAGGGGTCATGAGAAACCATGTTCCACCTTGAAATGTTTACAGAGGAGCACTCATTGTTTTCTTTCTCCTATGACATTTTGGCTCTTTTCTGAGGCTCTTCTTCTACTTTCAACTATGAATCTTATTTCGTTCGCAAACGAGTCTCCTGCTCCGTACAAAAAATTAATCTTCTCTACACAGGCAAGTGGAACTCTTATCTCTTCCAGAAGAAATTTGTTCTCCCTAAAAAGAAAAAAAAATTCCGATGAAACGAACAAGAATCAACTTTTATTCATGCACGGCCCTATAAAAACCCCTAAGGGAGGACAATCATTTAAGTTTGAATAAATATCACAATTATTACCTTTTTATGACATATAACTTAACCTTTGTACTTGTTTTTTTTAATTAGTTCGAGCAACTTTACTAGAAAAATATTCTGATACAGAATATACCTGAATATGCTTCCTCAGCCTGAACTCATTTCCTCAAAATTTATTCGCCCAAGTGAATAGAAATAGGATCCTCAACAGACTTCAACAAACAGGATATGTAAAATTAGAATATAGCCTTCTCATGCAAGAGCCAAGACACATGAGGAAAAAAGGGCTTCGAATCAACAACACAAATTCAGAAACTACTCCCTACAAGAGAAGTACAAAATGCCCTCAGACGAGGTTAGTTCTGGAATGGTATTGATAATAGAGAAATTCAATTCCTTGCAAGACAAACTGATGAGACACAAAGGACAAAATGACTGGTACTTGAGATAAGCCCATCCTTATCTCAAAGGTCTTGGATGATTAGAACGATATTCGTTCTCTCATTCTTCTAATTGAAGAGAAAGAAAATTAGGAAACTAAATGTATACACAAATATGACTATACATGTTTTTTTTTAATTTCTCTTATCAAATCAAACCCACCTTTTGAAGTAGTTGAATCAAACCCGTCCACTAAGATAACTAAATCAGGCATACCTATCGAAGTGGCCAAATCAAGTCCACGAAGTTGTCGAGTTGAGCTCACAAACCAATTTGATCATTCTTATCATCCTCCAAAGGAGTCTAGCCCACCCGTGCAAGAGCAGCTATTAAAAAAAATCATCAGATTGCAAAGAAGACATCATGACTAATAAGTACATTCGTCAACTCCTTATTAAAAAAAAGACCTGACACTTGAAGCTCGTTCCTTCCACCCGTGTACCGCGAGATAACAACCCATTGTTATGGAGCCTCAACACCCCATTGTCATCGAGCCCTCAAGCAAAGGAAGAGCACTGAGGTCGGCATGTGACATGGTTAATAATGTATGTATCATAGCCGGCCCCATGAGTTCTTTGCCAGGTAAAAGTAGAACCCATCCACGCTGTCGTGTAGCCAACTTTAGGCCTACCAAGCGGAGGACACACAAATCTGTACCCGTCTGTCGGTCACAACTTATCACGAATACAGGCAGCCATTACTCTCACCTTCAACCCAACATTTACAGTCACAGCAGAATGAGCACAACTCTTCCAAAGTTCAAACTTCAAAGTAGAAAGAAAGCAGTAAAAAACCAAAAAGCTCTGCATCAGTAGTAATTTGGAGATGAGGACTGCTTATTACTTGTTGCGCGCCCGAAGTCGCATGGCCGACAGCGAGGAAAAAGCCCAAAAACTCTAACAAGTCGCTATCCCGACTCTTAAAAAGGCTTAGATTGATAGAGAGAGAGAGGGAAGCAGGGGTGGGGAGAGCAGTAAGAAGCTTTTGCGAGCAAGTAGGGAGGATCTAGCCATCAAAGTGTCTCGGTAGCCTCAACAGCGAAGTACTGCAAATCGGCGAAGGGGGGAGAGAGAGAGAGAAGTTTCTTCTTTTCCCCCTTTTTTTTTTTCCTATGCCTCCATTATTATCAACTGTGTGAGGATTGTGCCGGAGGGTGATAAGTGGCTTGTTGGCATTTGCTCCGTGTCTTTGGGAAATGGGCTGAATCAGGCCATCTTTACTCGGCCGCCATCCTCCTCAACCTCTGGTTTGTCTTATCCTTCTTCCTGCGAATATGCGGTTCTTCTTACTGACCAGAAGTTGATAAAAACCCTTCGTTTGCCGTAACGTTAACAGGATGGAATTTTGATTTCCGCATCCAGGTTAGGGAGAATAGTGGATTTGCTTCCTAGCTCAAAAATCTCATCTTGCAATCCATCTCCTCTTTTTTTTTTATTCATCTTTTGCAGTCTACCGTTACTGGTGGAGAGAAAAGTGTTAAGCTGGTGATGGAACTGTTGCAGTTGAATGGCCAAGCTTTTCCAAAGCGCCACAACTGGTATCAAGCGCAGCAAGAAGAAGGAGAAAAAACCCTGTTCTTTTAGGAGTGGAAAGCACGGGAAACGGAAAAGTAGCAGAGCAGGAAGAGAAGGGGGAGGGGGAAGGGGAGGGGGAGTGGGAGGGGGAGCGCCTGGATCCAAGGAAGATTCAGACTCAGCTCCACCCGAACCGAAGCGAAGGCGAACGAGAAAAAGAGCTTCGCCAAACCCCGCGGCCTCCATACTTCCCCTACCCTTCTTACTCTTCCGACTATGCTTGCTTATCGGAGAGGCAGCCGGGCGCCATGAGGACCGCCGCCCCGGCGGGGGTGGCGACATAGTTGAAGTACAAGGCGGCGGCCACATTGTACGCGCAACAGGGCGCAAGGATCGACACAGTAAGGTATGCACTGCCAAAGGCCTCAGAGACCGTCGCGTGCGTCTCTCTGCTCACACCGCAATCCAGTTCTACGACGTGCAAGATCGACTCGGCTACGACCGGCCAAGCAAAGCTGTCGATTGGTTAATGATAAACGCCAAGCCGGCCATCGATCGGCTTGCTCAGCTCCCCCCATGGCGTCCTCCCTCCCCCTCCCCTCCCCCCCCCCCCGCGGCCCGCAAACCCCCCCC